CTGTTGCTCTTGCTTCTGGCTGGTCTGTTACCAGTTCATCTCTCTTGGGTAACAGACCTGTTACGGGCATTACTGAGGAGATGCCAGAAGCAGGCTGCAATTTTGGAAACAAATATGCCCGCTGTGGCGGCTGCTTCTAAGGAGTTACAGACCACACCCACCAGCTGCCTGGAGCAGCAGTATTTCTTGCAGTTTTCCTCATCTTCTGCACGTCTCTGCAGTTCTCAGCTGGGATCTAGAGCTGATGCTGCGCTTCCCTCCAAAGAGACCCCTGTCAAAATCAGCGCCGCTTGGTGAGATGCCACGTCCGGCGGGAGGAATCGGGAAGCCGTGCTCCAGGTGTGCCGGGATGCCCTTCAGTCTTAAAAGCTTGGTTTTGTTTCTGTTCCGCTCTGAAGTTTACAAAACACGGCTTGCAGGATGAGCCAGCAGGAATTTGTGGCATCTGCTTGCAGTTCCAAGTGTCACGCTTTCCCGCAGCCAGGAGCAGTGAGCCGAGGAAACTCCTCGATGTACAGCCGTGTTTTGGGAAGGGAGCGCAAATCATGCCAGGCTCTGTGAGTCAGAATTGGGTTCGGTGCTGCCACCAGACGTGGCTTTCCTCTATTACTGCCCAACATGGTCCGCAAACGCTTGCTGTCTCCCGAGAGCACCGTCTCTGAGCTTCAGGGGCAGCCTGAGAGATGCAGAGCCCCGCAGCTCCTCCGTGCTTACGTGCAGAGTGAATGCCAGGGCATTAGTGGGAGGCGCGTAACTACAAGCAGTTGTAGTTCCAGGAACTTGAGCCCTGTCTCTCCGGGGAAAAGCAGAGGGGACCTTGGGGGCCAGCATTTATTTGCATGATATTAAGTTGGATTTGGGGAGAGAAGGGGAAGGGAAGAATAAACCAACAGCAAATAATATTAAAAGCAGGCTTTTGGCTTGCAGCCTTGAATTGTTATACAATTGTTATTTGAAAGACTTCACTTTGCGGGAAGGCACCTCCAAATCATGAAGCTGATTGGAAAGTTTTCTTTATTGTAAATTTAGCCTGTGCCTCTTAAAGGAAGTTTGGTCACGTCCCTCCCCGGCATGTGTTTTTTTTCTGAGGAGTGGTGTTCTTTCTTTTCACTTTCTTGTGAGACACTTGAGTTCCTCCAGTGCTCGAGGAGCAGCCGGCTGTGCCTTGGGAACGTCTGTGTGTGCAGGAGCTTCGTAGCCTTATTTGGGAAGCCGCTTCCCGGGCACGGGTCAGCACTCCGCTGGCACTCGCGTCCTTCTCCTGTTGAGCAACACCAATCTCCTTCTAAGAAACTGCACTCGGTTAGCCAATCCGTCCATGAAATGTAGAGCCCAGGCTTTGTAAGAACGCTCCACAAAGCCCAACGGAGGCGATGGTGGTCTCTCTGGAATGTGAGTCTAACTTTGCTGGAGGGTAGAGGTGCTGGGAGCCTCCGGGTGAGGTTTGGTGCAAGCTCTGAGGAGGCTTTGGCAGGCGCCTGGCCCATCACTGAGTCTTCTCCAAGCGCAGCTGGAGCCGATCGAGTTTTCAGGGAGATACACAAAAGTACCTGTTCATCCTGATATCCGAATGTTCCCACCAGCTAAATAGGTTGTCTCAGATGCATAATGCTGGGTTTGGGTTACAGTCTGGCTGAATGCAGCTTTCGCGGCTAAGGATCAATCTGCTAATTTTGAAATACAATGCTGTAATATTTCTGCAGAGTCTCATAATAAGGAGATGTAATTTATAATAGCCCTGCTCATCCCACAGTTGCCATAAGTACACGGCGTTGCCCGAATCTCTATAGTTGGGGCATTTTCCTTCAGGCTGACGAGGGCTGCAGGGCGGCACCACGCAGCAGTGGTCCCACAGCTTCAAGGTGAGCACCTGGAGATGCGTGACCGGGGAAGGTTGGCACAGCCCACCGTGTTTCTGGGTCAGAACAAACTGCTGTTTCGGCAAAAGTTCAGGATGTGAAAGGAGGAAAAAAAGTCAGGGGAGTTGCAGCCCAGCCAACCTGCCTTTGTTTCCTAGGAGAATACTGACACAAATACACCGCTCGTAAACACCTAGAAGAAAACAAGCAACGTGCATTTGCTGAGTATGAGCCGTGCCCAGCTAATCTGACTTCCCTCTCAGGTGGGTTAGCGCTCTAGGGGATGAGGAGAAGCGGCAGATGTTGTACACCTTGCCTTTACTAAGGCTTGTTACACTCTTTTATCATTTCTCAGAAGTCAGCTTGAGAAATACCGTCCAGCTCAGTTTCTCAGACTTTAGTACAGCGCCCTTTGGGGCTCCTTGATCTCTTTCAAAGTAAAAGAAGAGCTAGCAGTTAATTCCAGTTTTGTGTAAACATTTCCTGCCGCACCCCAGCAGGCAGGGGCAGTTAACCCTTCCAGAGCTGCTCTAAGCTCTCTCATCCTGTTGCTGCAACCTTCTTATTCCTGCAAGAGGAACTGGTCATGATTTTGAACCAATGTGACTGTGCTGTTCTATGGTACTTCTCTAAGTTTTGAAAGCCCGAAATAAAGGCTTCTTGAGGCTCTGCAAGCCCTTCCTGCAAGAGGCCTACAGCCCACAGTGTGAGGAGGAACTGGTTTCTCAGATACTATAAAATTAATATGAAACTGCCTGGAAAACCATTGCCAGGGAACTTGACAGTGGCTCACTGTTCAGCTGAAAGGATTTATCAAGCAAGTTCCTTGTTTTGGCTTGGATAATGAAACCGAGAATGTGCTTATTGAATTTGCAGACAGTACTGAGCTGGGAATGGATTTGCGAGCTTTGAAGAGCTGGATCAGAATCAAAATGAACTCAACAGGTTGACCGAATGGTCTGAAAGAAGTACGATGCGGTTCAATAGGGAGAAGTGCAGAGAACGGCACTTAGGCAAGAACAGTCGATTGCATGAAAATGGAATGGGAGGAGAAGGTCCAGGCCGTGTCCTGCAGAGAGGCATGGTGAGCAGCAAGAGGCATCTGAGACCTAACGCTCGTGGTGGGGCTGATGGCATCGGGGTTGTCCCTCCACTTCCAGCTGCGATCCCAGTTCTTCAGCCTCAAAAGCGATATGAGTTTGTGGGAAGGAGTAGGCAGCTGCAGCTGGGTTTCACGTGAGGTTTTGCCCTTGTCTGCATTCGTGCCTTTGGAGCCGGAGTTCAAAACTGTTCCCCGGGGTTGAGATCAAGGTATTCTACCTCTCGCACCAGGCAAACCGTGCAGAAAACTGACGGTGGCACTGCTTGTCGTCTGCCAGGTTTAACTGAGTACTCCTGCAAAGTTAGGTTCTTTGTTTTGGCTAGCCAAAAATCTTTCCCCACGTTTTGGCTAGCCAAAAATCTTTCCCCGCGGTCAGTTCCATGCTGCTTGTGATGCTCGGTGGTTGCTGTCCAGAGTGCGGCATCGCAGCTTGTCTCAAGTTTGTAGCACGAGATTGCCGGTGCTCAATACAGCTATTCACCGCTTGCACAAAAGGCAACTGATGCAGCTCCTCTGCGATGTTTCCTTCTCGGGAGGTAGTTCTTCAGCTTTTTGCAGGTGGTGGGGCTCAAGGTTTCCCTTGTTAGGTGCTTGTTAAATCTCCAAGGCTTGCAAATTACTCTTCAGAAAGGAGAAGGAGGTAGACAGAAAAGCCTCGGGGCTTTCCTTTTGGTTTCCAAGAGGAATGCTGGGGCAGTATCTCTGTAGTTTTGTTGTGTAACTTCATTGTGGTTTGTCTTCTCTGGGTTTCTGTTTACAAGATGAGTTAAACTAAACGTGTGTTTTTTAAACTCACTCTGTAGCATTGTAGCATAAACTCATAGCTTAAAATGAGTCATTTTGACATAGATGACATCCAAAACAAGCTAGCCAGCATAATCTGCTTTCATCAGCTGTAGTGACCATCAAAGGATTTCATGGATTCAACTCAGAACCCTGCATCTTTTAAATTTAATTTTTGTTAACCTTGTGCAGTTTCTGCATGTGGACAAAGCCTAATTTATATGCACAGTAGGGCCTAAGAATCCAGACACTGACTTTAGTCTAGACCCTGCTTTATTACATGAGTTTCTTTCTGTATGCCTTTGCCTTTTCCTCTCCTCTCCATTATGTCTTTTGTCAGTCACTGTTTTCAATTATCAATTTTTTCCTTGTCTTTCTGCACTCGCTTGCTGCACTCTGCACCCCACGACATCTCCCAGCACAGGGCTGTTTTTCTAACAAATCCGGCTTCTGTCCGACTGGACCGAGCTGTTTATTCCCAACTTGGGCGGTGGGTCCTCCCGGAGGAGGAGACTCCAGCACCGGATTGCCCTGAACTGAGGCGTGAAGGTGGCGGCTCTTTCTGTGCAGGTGAGGGCAGCGGCGTCTGCTCTGTTCTTGTGTTCAGCCTGCAACGGTCTCCGGGAAGGAATATAGCTATCGAGTTATCGTAGCAGCCTGTTTACCACGCGCTGATTTCTGAATGCTCACTGCTTCCTGCCAGAATACAAGCTCATTGCCTCGAGTTACCTTAGGAGAGCGAACAACAGAGCTTGTTCACAACCTCAAATTGTCCCGGCTTTGATGTTTTGAGCCCCGTGTCCCCGTAACATTTATCTACGAACTCCCAAGTGATTAATCTCATTTCATTTAAAAAAAAAAACAAAAAACAACAAAAACCAGACAACGTGCTTTCTCCTGGTTCTGGGAATTCTTGCTTGAACATGGGACCCCCTCGTTTGGGAAGAGGCCAAGCTGGATGGTGGCTTCCCGGCTATGAATCCTCCATTTGTAGTGCGCCTGGCCGCCGTACACTGCCCCGGAAGAGGCACGGTGGATGTTTGTGGAAGCGATGGCCAGGCGGCTGTGAGACCCGGGCTGCTAGAACAGTGGGCGTATTATAGCTGGAAAAGGCAATTTCTCTGCCAAATCTCCTTGTGCAAGAGGGTTTATTCTTTAGCCTTGCAAAGATTCCGCTTTGTTGGTTCCTTTTTCGCTTGCTCTCTGAGACTTGGGAAAGAGGCTGCGGGACTGCAAAGGGAAATGAGCGTTCGGCTCATCTGACTTGCGTTACCAGGACGGAGCTCTGCTGCGCTCAGACGTCCGGCTTGCATGAAAGCAACCAGCTGGCATCCTGCTTCTGTTTAATGTGTTAGTTTTCCCTGATTTTTCGTATGCTCTGAACATTTTTTTTTTTGACATATAATCTAGCTTAGTAAACTGTGCTGTGCAGCAACGTTGTGTAGCGCTGGGAAGCAAGCATGGGGCTGGCTTTGGGTGTCATACTAAATAAGGTATTTCCTTGCATTGCCTGCAGAATAAAAGAAACATCTGTGTGGAGAGGCACATTCTTGTAACAACAGTGGGTTTAGGGTGCGGGGTTTTCTCAGAACATTATTATGAAACGAGTACCAGAGGTTCAGCGAAGACCCTGTGAAATAAAGTACCTTTCCACGTGGAGCTGCTTTTCCTGACTGCCAGGAACACCTCCCTTCCTGTTCTTGGAAAACAAGGGCCTGGCTAAAAGGCTGAGCTAACCGGGCTGACGTCCTCCAAGAAATGTTAAAAGGCGTTGCGGTTGTTATGCTGCGGGATAGTGTATCATCAGGTTCTGTAACTCCTTGCCTGGCTGAAAGAGCCTTCCAGCTACAGGAAGAAGGTATCCAGAGGCTGTCTCGGAGGTGACGGGAGAATATTCCTCCAGGCTGTGGAGCACAGGAGACCCGAAAAAGTGTGTAAATCCGTCTGCCATTTGTGTTTACTTCCTACTGAAATCGGAGGGTGAAGAATTGTAGATGGGGCCGACGTGTCGGTGTATCAACCGTTGCGTGGAAGCCAGTGAAGCAGGCGGTATCTTTAGCTGATAGCGGAAGATGGCCAAACACTTGAGGATGGGGAGGAGGAGGAGGATGGGGAGGACAGAGTCCCCTCCTGCGGTCTAGAGGGCCCTGCCGGCACGCTGGCCTGGATGTGTGCTGCCTTTGCTTCTTCATTTTGACCTATCGCGGCAAACTTAATAATCGTCGTCTCCCTTGAAAGGGCTGTCTTCTGTGGCTGCCGTCTGCTGGCTTCGTAGTTCTCCCTTTCCCCTCCCACAATGCGAAGCTCCCACAGCGCTGCAGCCGCGCTGTTTTCCCTGCGTGCCTGCTCTTCCTCTGCACTGGCTCCGTCTTGCCTGCGTAGATAGGTCCCGCAGGGCTGAAACCGTCTCTTGCTCTGTTGGTACAGCGCTTGCCTTGCTGAGGCCCTCGGGCGCTGCTGTAATAAGTGTGATTATGGATAACAGGCTAGGGAGGGACTGCTGGCTTGATCTGCCTGAGAGACGGCAGCTCGCAGCTCTGGTCCGAGCCGGGGAGCTGCAGAGCTCCTCCCTTGCCAGGCATGAAACCTAGGGCTGGTTGCTGGCAGGGTGCTCTCTTGGAAGGTAGCGGGTGTCTTACGCCTTGAATCAAAGACGTGAAAATCCAGACAGCGTCTTCTGGCTTCACTGGGGTCAAATCTTAAATGTGTCAGGGGAGTTCTAGAGGCTGCCCGAATTCTGGGCACAGGCAGCTCTGTGATGGACCGTGAAGGCCTCAGGAACCACGGTACTTGCATGAGCCAGAACTAGGAGATGTTTTTGGGGAGCTCAAGGGTTCTCTCCTCCTCCAACGCTGACCTGCTAGCTTTTTGATGGGTTTAAGAGTTCTCTCCTCCTCCAACGCTGACCTGCTACGCCAGCTTTTTGATGGGTTTAAGGGTGGTTTGCAGTGTGGGTGAGGGAAAGGAGATGGATTTCTTACATGGCTTTCCATGACGGAGCTGGTGCATCACAGTTAAAGATACTGAAGCATGTGCTTACGATTCTGTTTGCTAAAAATGCTTAAACTGCTTAACAAAACTAAAATAAAACTGTGGTTTGAAATACAGTCGCTTTCTGTGTGTTATTGTTCATCACACTGAATTATTACAAATACTATTTTCCAATTTTATAAGACAATTCCAAAACAAAGGTTGCCTTTGGAAAATGGCCATGTGAAGCCCATGGAGGTGAGGAGAACGTTGGGTTCCCCAGTGGCCGGCTGTGTTTCGGCCGACCGAAGGGTGTTCCAGGGCTGCTGTGGATCTTGGAAAGAGTTTTCTGCATTCATTATTTATCAGACACTGCAAGCATGCTTGGATTCTTCTGGGTCGTGTTGCAGAGCTTGGCTTGGTAGCACCCCTTGCTGTAACGTGGTCGAGCCAAAGTGCTTCCCCTGCTCTGAGGGGCTGGGGGAACCGATGACCCCCCAGGATGCCCTTTCCTCAGCACCCAGGGGCTGGGCAGGCTTGTTATGAAGTTGTTCTGCTCGTGACTCCGTCTGGGTGCAGGTTTTTCCCTGGCTGAGAGCAACGCGCGTGTGTGTAATGCCTACGTCTCTGTGCTTTCTGCTGTGCTGCAGGTGGCTGTTGTGGCTCTGATGTAAAGCAGTATGTATACGGAGGCTGGGCCTGGGCTTGGTGGTGCATTACTGACACCCAAAGGTAAGGAGACCCCCGTTATTTGTGGTTTTGGAGTATGAGTTAGGCAAAGCCATCCCAGTGGGGCTGTCAGCAGTATCTTTAGGAACACGGGACTGGGCACTGCATATGAAATCATGGATGAGCGTCGGCCCAGCCCGCTGCCTTTGGCTGTGACCAGCTCCCGGCCCTTCGAAGGAAGGCTGCCTTGCCTACAGCGCTGCAAGTAGCTGGAAGGAACAGCGTGTGCCCTGCGACATGCCTTGAAGCGTGGGGAATGTAGGGCCCCTCACAACCCCACAGCTTCTGGCCGTCCTCTGCTTTGAGTGATGGGGCTGAGGTTGTCCAGGGCCCTGCAGGAGATAACCCTGTCGTTTCAGGCTTACCTGGCAGTAAATGATGATTGATGATGTGCAAAATAAAATCACGGGATGGGGGAGTTCTGTGCTGACTGATTTTGTGGGGACAGCTGGGTATCACAGTGCAGAAGACAAAAAAGAAAAGAAATCCCATGCTTTCAGCTGAAGTACTTTTCAAATGGCCTCTCTGTCCACACCTCTCCTCAAACCCAAGGCAGTCAGATTGCTTTTTTTTTTTCCTTTTTGGTTGTTTTTGAGTTACCTAAAACCCACCAAGCTGAGAGGGCCGTAGCCTGGCTGGTCAGTGTGTTTCTTCCTGTGCAGGGGAAGGCGAGAGCCCTGCTCTCCTCTGCTGCCTTTGCAGCGCTCCGCAGCTACGAGGCTCTCGCAGGGGTGCTGGGCAGCGGGGCCACCGGGCTGGCTCATCCATGAGTTCACAAGAGGAGCTGAGTTCTGCCCAGTATGGCCCAAACCCTCACCCGGTAACAAACACGTTTATGGCATGCAGTGGGCCAGTGCCCCCTCCTGCTCCTCAAGTCTCTTTTTCTAAAAGATGTGCTGACTGCTGTCACCGTGGGAGCAGACTGCGTTCCTATTTAAAACCACGGGATTTCCTTTCTCTCCCTTTCCTCAGTCGTGGATTTTGCTTGCTGCTTCTTACCGCGCTGGTCTCTGAACTAACATGCTGTGATAGTGCTGCTGTCCTGCTAACGTAGCTCTTCGTCTTGAGGATCTGTGGGAATGTTATTCTCTCCTAACACCTCCCTCATGCTCACCAATGCAGGTTTCCTCCGTCTGTGTAAAAAATAATAGGGAAAAAGGATAAAGACGTGACTTTTGGGTTTTTGCACTGAGTGACGGCCAGAGGTTGTAGTTAACCCTTACTGCCTGATCTTGCCACCTCTTTTCCCTGTTCATGTGTTGCCACCAGCAGAGAAAGTGAGCATGTTGCTGCCCTCGCTCTGCAGATGATACACTACCGTAGCTGCTGTTCACCGGGGGGGGGTCAGGCAGCTTGCCTTGTTCGAAGGGGTCCTGGCTGCTGCTGGCAACTGACTCACGACACCTCTCAGGTCCTCTTTCAGGTGGCTGGTACTCGGGATTGCTACGAGAGCCTACCATAGTGCTCCGGCTGCATGAAGAGGTCTCAGCTAACACCTGCTGCTTTAGCCGGGGCTTTCCAGCGGTGCTCATACGAGGTGGGAGGGGAAGGAAAGGCCCGGCTTGTGGGCGCAGTGCTTAAAGAACTGCATTTGATCCAGACAAGCTTCATTCTCCAATTTTTGTGAGGCGTCTCACTGGGAGAACTGCTGATTTGAACAAGTGGTTTCTGCTCCTCCTCTTGTGTGAGAAGCCCGGAGAACAGCGCAGGACCTTGACCTGCCGTGTGCAGGAGATAACAGATGTATTCGGGAGGCTGACTTATTAAGTTAAGCAAAGGCTGAGTCCAGGGCCAAGAGCTGCTTGCCAGGAATGAGCTGTCATATGATAGAAGTCTCTGCACTATTTAGCAAACGGGGCTCTTGACAGGAATGCTAGCACCCAAACAAATCTTTTGCTTTAAAATCTATACCCCCGGTTCATGCCATGGGATATGGGGCTTAATTCTCCTGTTGAAAACAGGGCCTTTCCCAAATACCATAAGCGGTGCCACAGATGGAGCCTGCTGCATTAACATGAAGAGTGAGGCAGATTTCCTCCTCTGAAATTAGGACATCTTTTCTGGACCTGCCAGTGCTGAAAGCAAGAGAGACAGCAGCAATTGTGTTGCTGTCGGCAGCATCCCGCCAGGTAGCACTAACCTGGGAACAAAAGGAACAGTTAGAGCTGGCAGGGTGCTGGGCTCTTATCCTGCTGCAACCTTGAGGACTGGAGGGAAAAAAAAAGAAAAAAAAAAAAATCCTGTCCCTGTTTAAGGGTCAGAAATAAAAGCAGTGAGAGAGGCAGCGTGGTCTTACATGCCTCTGGGGGAACCAAATGGTATTATTCAGCTTCTCAGGACAGCACTTGGAAGCACCTTCTCTCATCAGTGCCTTAGCCAGGGGTGGGTAGCCAAGTCCCTGGCGTTTTCATTTTTCTGGCCCCTCTTAAACGTTGGCATAGAAGCATCTACATTATTACAAAAAGGAATTTTCTGTGTGTGAAGATGACTCCAACAGAGAATTCCAGCTGACTGCAGGATGGCAGCCCAGGTGGGACACACGGTTCAGTTTCATCTGCGGTGACTTATGGGATGTAGGGTGGAGAGGAGCCCCCAGCCTGTTTAGCCTCATTAAAAGGAGCAGCTGGATGCTGCAAACTCCCTGCCCTGACGAGGGAAGCTGGTCTGGCCCAGCGTTACGGAGCCCTGGGAGCGGGCAGTGGGAGAAAGGCAAACTGAACAGGGAAAAGCCAAAACCTGAAAGTCTCGTCTGTCCTTTGCAATGAGTGTCTTACTCTCTGATAACTGCTTTGTATATTTGCTGTCCTACCCTTATTCCTCGCTGCTCAGACTGTCTTTGGAGGTTATGACCATCCTCTGTCGCTGTGAGAATATTGAGACGTCGGAGGGGGTCCCACTGTACGTAACAGGGGTTGCACAGGTAATAATCCACCAGCTTCCTAACATTGTGTCTAACTGTTTATCCCTCTGTTTTGAGCAGCAGCAACAGCAGCAGCAGCAGGATAACATAAAACCTAATAGTTTTGTAATGGGACAGTTGAAATCTCAATATCTTCCTCTCCTTCCCCTTCTCCGGCGCTTGCCCTGGGGCGCACTCCACAGTTTATAGGTAATGCAGACAGATGCGTACTTGGCAAATTCCAAATTCAGCATCGCTGTACTGGCTCCTTCTGATAACGCTGCAGATGTTTGCTCCAGCTGTAACCCTTTCCTCGACGGCACTGTTTCCATTGTGTGCTTGGTGGAGAGCAAAAGGGCACCTGCTTTTGTGTGGAGCCACAAGCAGGCCAGATTGGGTTCTGTGCAGGATTTGGGGCAGGTGGGAAGGCAGGTTTTGTGCCATTGCAAAAGGAAGCCTGTACACGTGTGGGGAAATTGCAATTTGGCTCTGCATTTTTGGATATGGGTTTCTGCTCAGCCCTTCTTCCTCCACATGGAGACAGTGCCCATTTTGGATGTTGTCATGTTTGAAAGTACAGCATAGAGACCTTGGATGAGTTTCAACATACAGGACTAACGTTTGCACTGTGACAGTTATGAACCGGTGTAACAGTAATTACCAAACATCCCTGTGACTTGCCGGCTAAGAAGCAGCACAGTATTGAAATTAAATTCAAAGTATAGATTAGGTCTTCGGAAGGCTAAAATCCTGCACTAGTTGATTAAAGCTGTGAACGCATATGGCAAAAAATGCCTTTGCGCGTCCTGGACAGTGGGATCTGTTTTATCAGCTCTTGGCTTGCGTGCCAGTTTAATTAGGACAGTGGCCAAGGCAGGCATGAACTTGCAGAGATACGTTTCGGCACCTCCAGCCAATCCTGGAGCGACTGGGCGTGCACGCAGCAGCCCAGCGCAGCCCCTTCATGGTTCAGATGTTTGACCTAATGTTCACTGACACAAGCTCTCTGCCCTGTGGCTCCCTGTCCTGACTCCCAACGCCTTCCCGGCTTGTTATGGCCGACATGAGAGCCAGGCTTTGCTTCCTGAAGCAGAACCTGCCACGGCCAAGCATGTCTCTTGTTTTACCAAATCATGACCTGCAGATTGCCGGGTCTGGCCGAAGTACCTTGGGTGACTGAGAAAGCTCTGGAGCTGCAGGATCTGTTCCTGGGTGCCTGATACTATACAGGCGTGGCCCTAAAGAGCTGGAGACTCACTTCTGTCTGCCTTGGGGTCACGGGAGACAGGAAAAATAGAGGAAGAGGTGAACCAGATCAGGGGGTAGGTCTGTGTTAATGCTAACCCAGCGAGGGCAAAGGCAGGGCTGCTTCTTGCAGCATCAGCGCCAGGTTTTGCCAAGCAGCAGGGCTCCTGCGGGGGTGGCAGTGCGGGGCGGGCGGGAGCATCCCGGGTCCATGCTGTGCTTTTAAACCAGTGACACCAGCCAGCGAGAGCACGCGCTGCCCCGGCGTTGGGCAGCGTGGCACAGCGAGCCTCTGACAGAGGGCCCTTTGGGGTCCCAAAGCTGCTAGCTTCTGGCCACCTCGCTAGCCCAGCAGAAGGGAAAGGGTCACGGTATCGTTTCCAGTCTGGCTCCCAGCCTTTCTCTGCTGATAAATTGCCTTTAAGTGTTATCTGAAAATCTATTTCGTGGCCAAAGTGACTTGTCTGTCTCCAGTCACAGATGCAGTCCCTTGGCTGCATACTGCGCCTGTCTTACATTACCTGTGATGAGTGCGGCAGGTAGCCCAGGGCAGGAGATGCAAGGGGAAGAGCTGAGTGTGTGTTACCTGGAAACGTGCAAATATTTTACGTTTTTTGGCAGGATTTCCCTAGAGATAATGACGTTACAGCCCAGGTGTGAGGACGTAGAGACGGCGGAGGGGGTAGCTTTAACTGTCACAGGTGTGGCACAGGTACAGTAACTCCAAAACATCATTTCAGGAATGCATGTCTCTAACTTACATCTGGTTTTCCCCCTTAAGAGGTTGCTGTTGTCCAGGAACAGAAGCCAACTGCTCTGAAACAAATTTTTGTACAAAACCATGCTGTCCTCATTGGTTCAAACACGCTACAGCATGTCCCGTGTTGTGAAGGGGGTTGTGACCTCTCCTCCTCTCCCCAAAATCATTCCTCTTTTTCTGGTATCTCATTTGTCCACGTGGCAAATGAGGTGTGTGTGGGTGACTTGATCTGTTTGTGAAACGCTGATGTACCATGGAGCCCTTGGAGCTGTGTGTGACCCTGCAGGACTGAGCCATTCACTCCTGAATGGTATCGACCATTATGTCGCTTTGGATTATTATTATTAGCATGTGGATCTTGTAATTCTTCACGGTGAGTTAAAGCTTAAAGAAAAAACTTGGTCCCTCCAGGCACTAAAATTTGTGTATAAAATTTCTGGCTTGAATTGAATTTTGATTCTCTCGAGCCCTCTTCATACGTGAAAAGCAGCTCTTGCTGCTTGTGATAGCACACTTAAACACCTGCATTTCTTAGACTCCGAGGTCTGCTGCCCTGATACAGTCTGTCTTTGTGACAAGGTCCTGCCTTGGGGAGGATGCTGGGAAGAAAATGTTGTTAGCTTTCAACTGAATTTGACTCCTCGAATAGGCAGCTGGATGCTTTGATTGAAAATTGCTCCTGACAGCTCATTTTGGGTGTATAAAACCAAGATAGCGGTTCTCAGAGTGCGCACAAGGCTGCGGTTACCGTGTGTCCAAGGCATGTCCAGGTCTGTTGTTGCAGGAGAGGTGACTGCCACATTCCCTGCGGTGAGCAGTGGAGCCGCGGGGAGCTGCCGAGTGACACAGCGATGTGACCAAAATCCCACGTGCGTCAAAAGGCTCCCCCCAGGGACGAGCGCCGTGGCTGCTGCAGCCCTTTTAAGACCGAGCGCTTGACAGATTTCACCCAGTGCTTTCCAGAGCAGCGGGTTCCTCCCTAGGTTCATTGGTTTGCTCTGAACTGACGTTGCAGAGGAGCTGCGTGCTGTGTCTGTGCGTAACTGAGGATATGAATTCAGCCAGGAACAGTTTCTGGATTGTCGCACATGGCAGAAGGGCTGGGCACGACCGTGACTCAACAGCGGATAATCCATCGCCCTGCTGCTGTTGGGGAACGTGGCTACGTGCAAGAGCGCCAGCACGGGAGCCAGCATCTTGGGCTCGTCCTGGCTCTAATCGGTGTGAACCAGCATCCTTGTTTTCAATTCGTCGGTTCTTTAGATCCATTTGGCTGCTAATATGTCACATAACCACAGTGGTCTTTGCATGGTTGGCAAAATGCATGCACCCGTGTCTCCCCTCACATATTTCATAAATCTGTAGGCTTTTCCTTCTGTATTTGGAAAAGGTATTTCTGTGAAGCCAGCGTTCCTTTTTGACCTAGTTTTGGGACATCCTTCCATTGCCTGCAAAATGGTCTAGGCTGGGTGGCGTGCGGTAGCAGAAAGCTGGATCACCAGGTGCCTTGATTTAAAAATGTAGCTCCCAGTTCATCTCATTCATGCTATTCTCTCTTCTCACTGTTCATTTTTTTTCACTCTCCTTTAATTTTAAAGGTTTAGGGTTGTGAGGTGCAAGGAATTACCATGCAAAGCAGGCTTCTTGATTTAAAAATGTAGCTCCCAGTTCATCTCATTCATGCTATTCTCTCTTCTCACTGTTCATTTTTTTTTCACTCTCCTTTAATTTTAAAGGTTTAGGGTTGTGAGGTGCAAGGAATTACCATGCAGAAAGCAGGCTTGGGGCAGCTGGGGACGTGCATGGCAGAGGTTACCTTAATTTTGCAGAAGTACTTTTGAGGTGAACAGTTTTCTTTTAAGAGCTTGTGCAAAAAAGGAGAAAAGCAAAAATGTTATTACTAGAGAAACACCTTTTAAAACATTTGCGGTAATAATAGAAGTGCTAAATGTGCATAAGGATGCTGTTCTTTTTTTGAAGAGAGATGTAATGAGTACTCACCAGTAGCCTCCTTCCTGTGCTGGCTGGGTGCTTGGGGTGCGCTGGGATGCTGCTGCCTTAGGCCACACTGGGCTTCGTATCCTTCCGTACCATTTTTCTGAGCCTCAAGCTAATTGGATTGCCTCTGCTCGCCCCTCGCTGTGATTGCAGGTGGCTGGAGCTGGGCGCAGCAGTATCGATCCTCCAGATGGGATTGTTTTATAGAGGCTCTCTGATTTCCTGCCAGCTAAACACTCTCTCTCTGATGTGAATGACATTTGAAGAAGCACCAAGTGTCGCAGTGCCCTGTCTGAAATACTGGAAACAAGCTGAGCGCAAATTGCTCAACTCTATTTTGTTTTGTGCAACCTTTGCTTTGTAGGTTGACATCCGTGTTGAGCGGGTAGCCAGGCTCCTTCGGGCTGTCCAGGGTTTACCGGCGCGGGCAGGCTGCTGGCTGGCTTTATTCACAGAGGCTGAATCGTTCCTTGCTCCTGTTAAGTACCGCAGGGCCTCTCTTAACGAACATCCCGCTCCGTGCTCTGACTGTCCTCTCTGTAGCTTCCGAAGGGTGGGGATTGTTTAGAGAGGTGGAATTGCTGGCAGATGCGCACCATAAACGTTGCTGCTGAATCTAATTGGTTTGGGTATTTGCAAAAATCTCCCGTTTGCTGTGAGATGAGCCTTGTGCAGGGCCCACGCTCCCTGGTGCAGCTCCATAAGCAGCTCTCCCAACTCCCCCTTGTGTAGAAAGTGCACACTGCTGGCCTGGGGTGCAGGGACAAGAAACCGCTGTGGCTTGGCTCCTGAAGGAGCCCAGAGGTCTTGGGGAGAATGCAGAAGAGGATTGCTACGCTTGCCCGAGATTCAGTTTGGCATTTTGACTGGGAGACCCAGCCTGAGAAGCAAAGGTAGGAAATAGGCTCAGCCCAGGCTGGTGTTTCTTCACGTTACTAGGGGTAGGGCTGTGGCAGGGTTGTGGCAGCTGAGTCTTGGTCAGCTCGCCACATCTAACACTGTCCACCTCTGGTCCCCTTAGAAGGTGGTGGCTGGTCCCAGTTGTCCTGCTCTCTGGCAGTGCCGGGGCCGGGTGCTGCTGTTCAGCTCCGGAGGTTAGGCTGCGGGATCGTTTCAGACTCACGGGCTATCAGACCAGGCTTTCTCAAGAAATAGTCGTATTCCTTTTGCCAGCAGTTCGACCCTGAAGAGCGGTCTTATAGGTGTCAGGATGAGGTCTGTAGGCTCTGAACCCATCAAGAGCGTGCACTGGGACCCTCGGAGGGCCCCTCTGCAGCACCTGAAGGGGAGGAGCCAGGAGGCGTCCGAGCCAGGACCATGCTGGCATCGCAGGTAGCAGCAGGTCCAGCCAGGGCCCTTGGGGCAGAACGCAGGGTGCCACCAGCATCTCGTGGGACGGGAGGCACTGCCCAGCCCAGATGTCTCCATGAGAGGGTGCTGTGGGACCCGCTCAGTGCCCAGAGGTCCCAGCAGGGTTGTGTGGCTGGTATGGCCCTGCTTCCTTCTCTGGTGCTGCCAGACACAGAGACGTCCCTGTACCCAGGCTTTGCCTGAGCCCTCAGACTGGACCCACCAGGAGCTGTTGCCTTGGTGGGTTGTAGCTCCTCATAACTGGGTCCTATAAAGCTTCATGAGCACACATGTCCACTGCCTCACGTACCCCATGGGGATTTTTAACCCACTTTGCCTTTAAAAAGCAGCTCCGTGACCAGCAGGACCATCTTAAGACCCTGGCTGGTCTGGACCCGGGCATGCTTTTACGTCTGGCTTTGACTGTGGGAGGTGAAAGCGGCGCTGGGGCGGCTCCCCCACCTCTGGGGATCGTTACCAGACTGACCGTGCCGAGCGGGACAACCAGGTCCTGGCCACGACACACTGGGGTCACCGCAAAGGGTGGCTGGGAGCTCCCAGACACGAGCAGGACAAACCAGCGTGCTACGGCCATCTCATCTCATCTCTCCTTGCAGGGAACACCAAATGGAGCCCCTGTTCCCAAGCTGCTCCTTGGGCAATTCAGACTCTTCCTTGTTCTCTGCCTTTCTCATGTCAGACAAATTATTTCTAGTGAAGAAGGAGGAGGAGAAAGGTAACGAACTGCCTTTTGGCCAGGGGTGGTAATAGTGAGCCCTCTCCTCCTAGGTCTGGTATTGGTGCAGTGACTGAACTGGTAGTTCAGGGCTCTTTGGTAGAGTTTTCATCAGGTCGGACGGACTTGTAGGGCCAGGTTCTGTCCCCACATCACCCAGTGGCCGCTGCTGTGGGATAGATAGCTGCAGGGAGCACCTCTCCACGCTGAGCTGCAGTCAGTGTTTGGAGAGGTGTCTGCCCCGGACGCTGGCACTGCTGCGTGTGCCTGCAGCAGGGCTCTCCCCAGCAGCAGTGAGCGGGGGCTCGCTGGCCGGTCCGGTGGCCTGGCTCAGTGTGGTGACAGCTCAGCATGGTCCCTCAGAGCATCGGTAGCACGGGGCCTGGCAGCTTGGTGGTGGTACTGCTGCTTCTGCTGCTGCTGCTGCTGTTGGATGCCTGTCCCTCTTCGGACAGGCGCCTTCAGTCCCTTTGGTTTTGTCTCCTGTCTCTAGGTGAAGATAATGACTGAGAAGGAGCTCCTGGCTGTGGCCTGTGAGCAGTTCTTGGGGAAGAACGTGCAGGATGTGAAGAACGTGGTCCTTCAGACGCTGGAGGGGCATCTGCGCTCCATCCTAGGTGCTCACGCTCTTTAAGGCATCTTGAGTAGCTTTCTCCCTTCTCTGCTGGCTGGTCCCAGCAGTATTGCTGCCACCGCAGCAGCCGCAACGGGTGCCCCCTCTGCTGACTGCAGAGGTGGCATCTTAGATTGTTCCTCCCCTACAGCAGCTCCTGCTGTGTGGCTGGGTGTTGTGATAAATGAGTTTTCAGTGCCTGCAGTAAGAGATGTCTGAGTCCCCACGGGTTACAGGTAGCACGTGTGCGTGGTGGTTGCGCTTGTGAGACCGAGATGTTGGTGCACACTGCAGGGCCTGGGCAGAGGATTATGCCCTTGTGTCCAGATCTGAAGAGATTAGGGGCAACGAGCATGTTGCTGAGCTTAGATTCACACTGTTGTGTGTTACCTGTTCCAAATAAAGTGCTTCGCCTTCCTTCCCTCTGCAGGTACCCTGACAGTGGAGCAGATCTATCAGGACAGGGATCAGTTTGCCAAGCTGGTGCGGGAGGTGGCAGCTCCTGACGTGGGTCGCATGGGTATCGAGATCCTGAGCTTCACCATCAAGGTACACCCAGATGTAGGGCGCTGCGCCATGGGGCAGCCGGCAGCGCTGTAGGACCAGCACAACAGAGTCTGGCCCTGGCTCCTCTGCTGCAGCTGGCTGAAAGGCTCCGGCTAACAGCCTGCCCCAGCCCTCCGGGAGTTTCCATGACAGCTGCCACAGCGTGTCCTGTATCCAGGCAGCTGGGCCAAGAGCACCTGGTAGCTGCCTCTGGAAACGGCTGGTGGAGAGAGCTCGCTGATAACTGAGCCTCCAGGGAGTCGGAGGGAAGATGTCAGGGAGAGCTCGCCTCTCCCTGTCACGCCGGTTTCTGGCAGCAGGCTGACACGGCTCATTCTGACCCTGGCCAAGGGAGCAAGATGGAGTCGCTCGTTTGACATGGTTATGACTTATCTTCCCCTCCCCAGGATGTCTACGATAAAGTGGATTACCTGAGCTCCCTGGGAAAGACTCAGACTGCCGCTGTCCGAAGGGATGCAGACATCGGTGTGGCAGAAGCCGAGCGAGATGCTGGCATTCGGGTGAGTCTGGAGACGTGCTGGCCTTCCCCAAAGCAGCCTGTTTTGCTCTAGCTGCGCACCCTGGAGCTCTGCTCTCTGTTGCCTCTCTGCAGGAGGCAGAGTGCAAGAAGGAAATGCTGGATGTCAAGTTCATGGCAGATACCAAAATAGCAGATTCCAGACGGGCTTTTGAATTGCAGAAGGCTGCCTTCAGTGAGGAGGTCAACATTAAGGTGAGAGGTATCCGACAGCCCAGTTCTGTTCTCTGGCTGGTTCGTGATGGTGTTGGTAGCTCTGGGACTGTCCGGCTTCCTCCTCCTGCATGTGTTAGGAGAGCTGGAGGTGGAGAACCCAGGTTTCTATGTCACAGTGTGCGCTCCTTGCAGCAGATTCCTCTCCTGCCCTGTTTGCAACGGTTAAGTGGACTAAGAGGAGAGGAAAGGATGGGGAGGGTCATCCAAGCTGACCCCAGAGCTGGTTTGGCTCAGGTGCTGTGGGAAGAGCGCGCAGGGAAGGACAGCAAGTGCAACTCTGGGGATAGGGACATCACCTCTGGGGGGAGGTTTGGTCCAGAGCAGGAGCCACGTCTGTTTTCAGGGCCTGCCAAGGGTCCTTCTGTCTGCGCACAGGAGATCATGGCCAAGACCCCTCTTCTCATCTCTCCCGTGTGCAGACTGCGGAGGCCCAGCTGGCCTACGAGCTCCAGAGCGCCCGGGAGCAGCAGAAGATCCGCCAGGAGGAAATTGAAATCGAGGTGGTGCAGCGCAAGAAGCAGATCGATGTCGAAGAGAAAGAGATCATCCGGATGGAGAAGGAGCTGATAGCCACTGTGAAGCGGCCGGCCGAGGCTGAAGCCTACCGTATCCAGCAGATCGCCGAGGGCGAGAAGTGAGTGAGCCCGTGACCCGGTCGGAGAGGGACCAGCCCTCAGCCCGGCTGCACGCTGGGCTGGGGTGAGGTGGGAGCGGAGTGGGCTCTCTGCGGGGCAGGCACGTGGCTGACAGAGGGAGGGAAGCATTGCTGGGTACGCTGCGGGGATCTGGGCTGCTAGAGGGCTGGGTTTCCCTTTCCAGGGTGAAGCAAGTCCTCATTGCTCAGGCGGAGGCAGAAAAGATCCGCAAGATCGGAGAAGCGGAGGCCTTTGTGATTGAGGCCATCGGGATGGCGGAGGCTGAGAGGATGAAGCTGAAGGCTGAAGCACTCCAGCAGTATGGAGAAGCTGCCCAGCTGGCTCTAGTGCTGGATGCGCTGCCTGAGGTGAGGAGGGAGCAGCTTTCCCCAGCTCCGCACAAGTGGTGAGGAGTTCCCAGGCTGGGCCAGGTCTGGGGGCACAGAGAGGCCCCACAGGCTTGGCCAGCAGGCTGGTGAGCAGCTCCTTGGCTCTCTGCTCATCCCGCCCTCCTTCCCTGCCTCCCCAGATTGCTGCTAAAGTGGCTGCCCCCCTCTCCAAAGTGGACGAGATCGTTATTCTCAGTGGAGAGAGCAGCAACACAACGTCCGAGGTGAACCGTCTGCTGGCCGAGATCCCCGCCTCCGTGCGTGCCATCACCGGCGTGGATCTCACAAAGGTGAGCCGGGCTCCGGCAGCTGGCAATTCCTGAGGCTCTTAGGGCACAAGGACCTGCCTGAAAACTTTCAGACTCCCAGGGAGCCTCTCCTTCCCCAGCCCTGCCTGGCCGCAGAGTGCAGGCAGCTCCCTGCCTCCCCCTCATCCAGCCCTAACAGCTTCTCTCTTCCCCTCCTACAGATTCCCCTGATCCAGAAAGCCACCGGGGCCCAGGCATGAGGCTGGCCAACCCAAAGCTAGTGAAGATCACTCCCTGTTATGCACTCAGACATCAACTGCCTTCAACACGTGGGAATTCCTTTTATATCAAAGACAATTGGAGTTTCATTTTTAAGCTCTGGTGCCTTATTTTGTAGGGCCAGAAAGATGCATGTCTAATCAGCTGCTCTTTTTATTACAAAGGGTGGGAGGGGATTTAGTTTGTAATTAATTGTATATTGTATCAGGCCGGGGTTTGGATCCGATCCCCTTACGACTGGCAGCTTGTCTGGTGTTGCAATCCCGGTGCCTTGCTGTTCTCTGTCCTCAGGCGGCCGCCCAGAGCTCGGAGCGGAGGCTCGGCGGGACGCGGAACATGGAGTGTGGAGCTGTAGGAAGAGAACAGCCAGGACCCACCTCCCCTGGGCTCCCTGCCCTCCCGCAGCGACCCCCCTGGGCACTGCCCAGCCCCTGCCTCTGCCCACAAGCTGTTTTGGGGCTGGCTTTCCCCATCCGAGTGTCTCCCTCACAGGGCCCCTGCAGTGCTAGCAGTCCTGCCCCAGGCTGGGCTTCCCAGAGGTGGCAGTCACCCCCTGGGGGGTTTTGCGTCCCTGCCGGTGGGTGCTACAGTCGGTGCCCGCTCTCGTGCTGCCTTCCCTCAGGGAAGTTTCCTCCTGGGATCTGGAGGTTGGAGAGCTCGGGGGGGGGCTGATGGCACGTTAGTGGAGGTCTGGTCTGAGCCAGGCTTGGCGAGGTGCCCCCACCAGGAATGCCAAAAAGTAGCGCTGTGCCAAAGCCGCCCCATCCTCCGAGAGGGAGGCGAAACCGCCGAGGCTGCTGTCCCCGAGTGCGGTGGTACCTCTCGCCCCCGACAACTACTCAAGCTATGGGCCAGAGGGACGCGGGGGCCCGGGCAGGGTGCTGCGGTGGGGACGGGCTCCTCCAGCACCGCGGCCTGTACAGCTGGCCGGGGACCAGCGCTCCTGGGGCTGGTGCCGTGGCTGTGAGAAGCAGCCGTGCTGGCCGGGGGATGCCCCGGCAGGCAGTGCAGAAGTCCCTACCTCCCTCGCTCCCCCTGCCTCTTATGGCCAGGGGCTTTGCTGCCCTGAGTGACAGTGTGAAAGAGGTCGTCCCCTGCGTGTGTCCCATACTCTCCACAGTGCCACCGGGGCCCTGCGCTGGCCCGTGCCCCTTCCCCGCCTGTCTCGTCGCCTATGCTCAGTGTGGCTGTAGCAGCCAAACCCACGTGTGAAGTCAGCCTGGTGCTGCTGTGGGGTGGTGACCTGCGCAGGCACCCCAGGGTGCTGGGGATCCCTCCACTGGCTCCTTCACCCGCAGCTCCGTGCCACCCCCTCGTTGTCATAGGGTTGGTGCAGGGACCCGGGTCCCCCTCTGCCCTCCTGGCAGTGCCCCCGGTACTGGCCAGTCCCTTTGCCAGGAGTGACCCGCTGCGGGGCGGATGGGTGCTGCGGGGCCGGTGGCACCCCGTCCCCCTCCCTGCCGCTAGCACTGGGGGGGGGAGGCACCAGCCTTATCAGCCCCCGGCTTGTGCTTGCGCCGCGGGGCCGCTGGCACAGATCTGGCGCTTGCTGGCGGGCGTGCCGGGCGAGGCGCCCTATCTGCATGTGCGTGTGCATGCCTGCGCCCCTGCGACCGTCACTGCTGTACGATAATAAAGGCTTGTCACCACCTGCCTTGGCTCTCGTCTTGTGCCTCCCATGCCCGTCTCCCCCGCTGTGGCACCCCCGGGCAGTGCCAGAGCCGGTGCTTGACCAGCTGTGGCGTGGGCTGGCTGGGGGCTGCTGGGCCCAGGGGGGCC